GAATCCATTCATATTTCCCATTCGAATTATACCCAGTATTGACTTGAAAATAAAAAATCCTATCAACAATTTGACGCCATTTGTTTATACTGCACTAACGACATGCACATGTACATTTAATTATTTTTCATTCAGCGCATTGGCACATCGACACTTGGATGATGAATGAACCTGTCGTTCGCAGATCACAAAACTATCTAGCGAATCATTTAAATGTTGGAAAATATATTTTTTCAAAAGGAAATATCGAGAAGCACATAGGAATGCGCGTAAAGCCATTAACAAAGTTTAAACATTCGGGTTTGATGGTGGATGTAGTAAAATAAATATTTTTTCCGCTAATAAAGTAACAATGAAGACGGTGATAAAACTGTATTAAACCAAACTAGACTTTTTGTAAATATTTGCAGCTTTAGGTATTAGCACATTGGAATTAGTTGGGTGACAATATTACATTATAAGTACGTAATAGTGAGATGATAGATTAATCGATTGCATACATAATTAATAAAGTTGACAGTTATTGGAATAGGAACCTAATAATGGAACTGTTTCGAATAGTTGCGGGTATTAAGAAATTTTTTTTCTGCTCACAGTCCAACAGTCTTGATATTTGCTCTATGTACCATATAAACGTCTCAAGAAACATTTACTTGGGTGGAAAACTTGAACTAAAGCGCCAACCAGCGGGACAAATTAAAGCGAAAAATTTTAAAAGTGCTCAAACTTGATAAAAGCCTGTATAGCCGCTTTTCAAATGTAAATATAGGCCCTAAAACATGGGTTTTCGATTCCCCCATGCTGAAAAGGTTGGCTTTATGGTAATTTCGGTTGAGGTGAGTTGTTTTCAATTTACAATTCACGTTTCGAGATTGAAAGTTCTGCCTTACAAACTTTGGACTGAACATGAATTTCATAGTGACCGAAAGATTAAAGCGCACAATGGCCATATGTTTGTTTATTTAATTAAAACACACTATCTAAAACTTCCCACGATTTAATCCGCAAGTTAAGGTCAAGATTTTTCTCTGGTAATAATGGTAAAACGATCTAAAGGTTTAAAATCCTTTTCTTGTGCCTATTGTCTACTGAGGCTTTTGTTCTTACAATTTTTTCATTGTTTTGCTTGAAATATCGGCTAACCAGCGAAATTAATTCCTTTGCGTTCAGCTTATATTGTTTTCAGGGTATTTATTTCGGTCTCCACTGTCAGAAAAATAAATTCGCTAGTAGCGACTCATTCGGATACGCTTCTTTTGTGCCTGAACATTCACACCATTTAAATGAAAACTGTAATTTTTTCTTCGGGTAATTAATGTTAAATCATTTTAGCCTACAGGGAAAATTGACTTAATTGCGTTGTTCGTAATCGCGGAGCTTTAGTTTAAGCATTGGCTTTAAATTAAATAATTTTTGCTTGTATCAATATTTATTTAGGTCTACGATGAAAATTCAATATAAATTAGAACACTGGAAAAGCAAATTGCATTTGGGCGATTAATTTGAATTCATATTAGATTGGACTTATTCATGTATGTTTTTCACTCAATTACCTATCAATAGAATATAAATACAGCTCCTAAATTAGCTATTTCAATCGGGACATTTGCTAATAAAATTATTTTTAAATGTGTTCATAATAGTTTTTTTTGACTGTTTGGGAATTGGAGTTTAAGGGTCACAAATCCATTGTTCAAACGAAAATGTTCCGAAAAACCAATGTTTTTTGATTATAATAAATGTTTTAAAATAAATTTCCCAAAGTTGTGTGGTTTTACTCTGACAGTTAATGCATATTTTTGCAAATTACCTTAACCAGCACAGGCTTAACGTAATTGATTTGATTTGATAAGATTTATCTGCGACTTTCGAAGTGAAAGCCGAAAATAAATCATACATGTCAGTGTTATCTGGAGTTAAAATCAAACAGATCGCCCCATAACACGAGATTAAAGATATGTGCAAACTTGGAAAGGAAAATCACACAAAAGAAGATAAAAATTAAATAAATTGCAAATGACACAGCGAAAAGTGCACTTCTGTCGTGTTCAAGTGCAAAAAAGAAATTGCGTTGTGTGCAATCCGATTTCTTTAAGGCAACCAAGTTAAAAATAGCTTTACATGTACGGATTTCATTCGATTTCCCAAGTAATTTTTCCTATTATGAAAGTATCGATTCGTCACACTTAAACAATGTTCTGGATTTTCGGCTCTTTGTCACTCTTAATGAACCATTAATCAAGAATCGGCGTCAATTAACCCGGTTTTTCAAAATGAATGCAACATTTTCACTAAATCGACAAAGTTAACTGAAAACAGTTCGCTGTTCGCAATCAGTCCTGTTTCTCTAATAAATTGCTGTCGTTAAGTCGAGATGGGGAGATTTTAATTTCAAGTGCGGTAATGATAATTGGCTTTCGAAAATCTGGATTTACGGGAATTTGATAGCAGCTTGCTCCGGCTGGCTCTCGACGAACGATTAGAGTTTCATGTGGATTAATAAAAGTTCCTTGACTGCCACAGCTCTATTTATCGGCAGTGAAGTGATGCGGATATCTGAAAGAGATTTTCACCTTGTTTAACGGCTAGCACATATATCAATCGCGCGTTTTACGAAACACTGAATAATTTGGATCAGCAATTTTGAATGCAGAAATTGAAAATATTCAACCCCAGTAATGTCGCATTTGATTTAGCATCGAGAAACAGAATAGCCCAAATTAACGCTGATTGGTATTCCGGTAAAGTCACATTTTTCGAATGAAATCTACAATTAAATGCGCCTCGCAATTCCCGGCTCAGGGCCCCAATAATCGCTTTATGCAACAATTGCAGCTGGCAAATTGATTTGCAAATCACGCATTTAAACACAACAGCCATAGGAGCGATAGTTATCGCAGATTTTATAACATATTTGCGGTTAAAATGGCAACTAGTGTTTAGCTTTATCCTACGTCTTAACTACTAAGGCTCATAATTTGGTAAGACAACAGTCGGTGCTTCCAACGCAGTATTTTAGCTAAAATCTGTTGAATTTCAATCAATTTTTTTGGAAAATTAAAATAACGATCCGAATCAAAGTTTCTAATATTCAATTTTTTTAAATTTAAATCCCTTTGAGTGACTCGACTTTCCGTATCGGGCAAAAACCATTTATTCACTGTTGTCGGGCACCATCTTTAATGGTCAACCTATATGGTTTTAATTCTACTAACGCAGTTATTGCCTTTATTTCAACCTTTTTAATGAAGTTAAAGTTTTTCAAAAAATATTTGAACAAATTTAGAGTGTTTCAATTATTAATTAGGCTGTTGTGTATTCCTTAAGGAGCATTTTTTTGCTTAACTAACCGACAATTAACCCAGACTACCCAAAACTGTGAATTCAAACCAGCTAAAACTAGCTAAATTTGTTATTTATTTTTAAAGATTCCAGTTGCTTTTATTAGATATCTGGCTAGTGATGTGCATTTTTTCAAGTGACTAATTTAAATGAAAATCAAGAAATCCAACTCAAAAAGTTTGCGAACCAATAAACCAATTACGTAATGCTTTTTTACCTGCCAGAATTTGGAGGATTTTCTTATTTTGGAAGATGTCCGCTAAACGAAACTGAATTCGATGTTAATGCTGAATTTCAATCAAGTAATCAGAGCACTCACGGATTTCCTTAACGAAAATATCTAGAAACCTTTGCATTTTTACCAATATTGAGCTTCGTCCCACCTTCAAACTCCCTGTGCAGGCGATTTTGTTCGCTAAACTACATTTGAGGGTTCTCTCATCAGTCTCATCGCAATAAGTCGATTTGCCTTCAAGTAATTCGTTATATATAGTCTTCTGGCTTTCCTTGTGGTTGGTGAGCAGTCTGATACAACAAAACGCTGATTAGAAGACTTTATAAACAGATCTAAAAACGATTTTTTTTAACTTATTCTCCCGGGTTTTTTTCAGCTCTCTGTCCTGTTTTGGTAACCGCCATTCAATAATTGTAAGACACTTTTTTTTAGTTTGGCCGAATACTAAGGAAACTGATATTAACTTTCAGTTCTCCCTTTTGCTGATGTACAGTTGCCCATAAAAAATACAAAAAAATATTTTAAAACAGAATGCGGATTAAGAATATTAAACAAAGCAGCAATTTGCTGAGTAAATGTATTAGTACTGAGCAGGCTTTTGAGTATTTATGTTCAGAGTTTTGTTTCTCTGCTTGAAAATGAGAACTGCTTTATTTGCCATAAAAAATATAAATCAAAGTTTATGCCTACGAATGTTCGAGCACAAGGACAATGTTGGGGAGGAAGATTTTACCTGTGCGTCGGTTCTATACAATAGTGCGATACCGGGAACCACTGGTACGGCTTTCAGGCTACTTGTGCGGTGAAAGTGGTGAAATAAAGTACAGCTTTTGCCCGATTTTTTAATCGAGAGGCTGTATTTTGTACAGTTTCAAGGCTGCCGTATAATCGAAGATCAGGTACTCATTTCGTGCCATTTATCACAAGTTTGTCCAAATATATATAGTTTCCATTTTGTTTGTCGGATTGGGGAAAGTCAAAAATTTTTATAAAGTCCACATAAAACCGTTGAAATTTGCAAACACTACAATTTTCAGAAATTTACATTTCGAAGCTCGCACCTTGATCATATTATCCGATATTAATTTCATTATTTGTGCGCATTGATTGAGCGCGTTAACAATTTTTATTCTTTACATGATATGCGTTAACACTAGTTAAACAAATGGATGTAATTGTAACTAAATAAATGTTTTTTTCTTTCCCAAACACCCTGCTGATGTTAATTTTAGTGTGGCTGTTAATATAATTCCATCACATAGGATTATTCGTCTTTATTCAGGCAAAGCAGCTAAGCGATAATATTTATATTGGTAGCTTCCGTGTGAAATATGACAGGATTTGTGTTAGTATTCCTATAGTTCATAGATAGACTAATCTCAAACTCTACAAACACGCCTAATAATCTCCATTTGAATTTCAGGACGGATCTCCTATGGCTTTGAAATAAACCATGGGGTTTGGCTTCCAAGCAGCTCCGATTGAGGATATACAATGCACCCAAAACGTCGATTTTGTCACATCTTGTGGAGTGAATTCTACACTAACTCTAGAGTGCGCTGGAAAGAATCGTCGAATCTACGATTATTTCTGCGAAAATGACTATTTCTCCAGAGACAGTACTAAATATCTGTGCACTGGCTGCAGTACCAACTATACTGCTGAAGTGCTGGCAAACTTCTTCAGCAGTGGCGTTCAGAACTTTATAGTGCGCGCTCCAGTTCTAGACTGCCATTTTGCAAACATTAGCGGCGATGTGTTTTGGACGTGCAATTCCAGTACCAATGAAACTCACACTTTATGGAACAAAGCGAATTATGACTGGAGTTTCTTGTTTGTGGTAGTTTTTATAATTGCTGGAGGCGTGGGGAACATTCTGGTCTGTTTAGCAGTACTGCTGGATCGGAGACTACAAAACGTCACCAACTATTTCCTGCTCAGTTTGGCAATTGCTGATCTGTTAGTGAGCTTATTTGTGATGCCACTAGGAGCTATTCCAGGATTTTTTGGTGAGTCTTTTGAAAATGTATGTGCAATTCATCTGCGTTAATGCCACTTGCCAACATTTCTTGCTGTCGCTTTTGCTCATTCTCGATATTTAGTGGATGGGCTAAAAATACATTATAGAGTGCGATCTGAAGCCCCAAGTGTGAGCTAACGATCGTGAACATTTCAACTTGCTACTTGCGCTAGTTTGGAAGACACTATTTTTTTAACTGGCCGTCCGCAGTTGAATAAAAGGTCTATTATGCGACAGATATTAACTTATTTTGATGCTCATATTAACCAAGCTATTAAAAATCCTGATTGCAGGCAATTTTTATGAAAAATTCGGCTGGTTAAAGTGAGGTGTGGCCTAAATATGGAAACAATTTCAAAATCCTCCTTCTTTTGGTTTGGAAGAGCAAAATTTTTTGAGGATAGAGCGCAGTTGATTAAATCATCAAAAAGCCACAATTCTAAACATCCTAATGTTACCACTATTTGCTAATTTTGAGACTCATTTTAACAAAGCTGGGAAAAATCCTAATTCCAGGCGATTTCTTTGAAACTTTTAGTCTATTTAGAGTCAAGCGTGCTATAAAGATACAGACAATTTCAAATTCCTATTGGTTTTAGTTTGGAAGCTTCGAGTTTTCAGAGGGTAGAGCGCAATGGAGAAAAATTGACATTTCGAGATCTATATTGGCTTACCCGGGGGTATAAAATCCAGAATTGCAAGACGATTTTTTGCCATTTTCCGCATCTGCAGGATGACATACGTGCTAAATATGGTGAAACGTTAAAACTGCTATTTGCTACAGTTTGGAAAATCCTTTTTTTAATCTGGGGGAGCGCAGTTGAATGAAAACATACGTTATGAGACCGCTATTTATTGATGTTAACACACAGAAACCAAACTCGCAACAATCAGAATTCTGAACGATTTTTATTTTCACTCTTCTTCCTTCTAAATCCCGTTTCGCTCTTCTATTCCCTATGAGCGTTCCTAGAGAAAGGCTGTCGGAAATGACGATTACGATTAGCATCTCTTATTTTCCTGCACGTTTGTTTATCTTAAATCCGAAGCTTTTTGAGGCCTACGAAATGCTCTTGATTTCCGTTTTCATACGAGCCAACTATTTGGAACTTTTATTGCTGATTGCTATGGTCATAATTGTTAAAATAATTGACTTAACTAAACATGATGTATAGTCAAAATGTAATGTTTAGATAAAATTATAAACAAATTTGCACGCGCCAAAAAAGTGTCAATAATTTTGATACAGGCAGACATAAATATGCAATTGGTTTTGCCATTAAGTAAACAGAATGAGTACAATACTGAAGTGTGCATACTATGGGCTAATTTTAACTCTTTACTTTAAGCCAGTAGAACTAATCCAACTGTGAACTTGTAAATATTTAGTTAGGCGAAAATTTGGCAGTTTATCAAGTCAGAAAATCACAATAGACCAGTTGTAGCGATTTTAGTAAAGAAAAAAGACGATTTTAGAAGAAGTCGATGATGTTATCTAAAAAAAGCATTAGCAAAGTCGTTTAGTAAATCCAAATCTGCATATTCCATGTGAAAATCTACTCACACAAGCATCAACCTCAAATTAGATGTTAATTGAGTTTGTAGCGTTTCGTTGGCATGTGCCTGCAGCAATTTTCAAGCATACAATGTCAAACTTTCCAAAACTAACGCATTAGACAATTTGCACATATCACTTTGTAAATTGCTAACTCGCTCAGCATATTTTACCGAGTTTGTTTTCGGTTTTCCGCAGGTTTGAACCGTTCAGAAAGGTTTTTGTTACATATTCTGAAAGCCCAATATGCTTGACTTTCTAACACAATTTAACAAGCTGTTTATTAAATATACATTGTTAAAGAAGTAGTTGAAAACTTGAGAATTCCACTACTAAAATTCTAAAATTAGGCCAGGTCTTCAGTGTGTCCTTATTATTGAAGGCTCATCAGACAAAACTTAATAGACAGAAAGGAGATTTGTTGTAATTTCGTTTAAAGAAGTTAAAAGAATCATCCCAATCCAAGCTTTAGCGAGTCAGAATATTCCACAAAAGTACATTTTTATTATCGTTATTGGATAATGTAAATCCTAGATTTTTACGATTGGAAGCTGCATAAAAGTGTTCAGAATTACATCGAAAGAAGCAATACTGCAAACACATCAAGAGTAAGAAATTGATCATTACATGCAGTGAATTCCTAATCAAAATAATTGCATCAGGAATTTCTAAATATTTACTTAAGAACCAAATTGAACGTCGTTGAGCTAGACAAACTAAAGAATACCTCGTCTATATTAGAGTAATTTAATTCCGGGCGAAATTGCGTTGGCGAATTTAAAAATCCCGCTTTATTAGTCTACTGAAAGTTGGAAAACTTTGAAGCTAAGTACTAGATAACCACTATTTTACGAGACGCGCCAGGATTAATGGCCTTTATACCCAGTTCAATTTTTATGGAAAAATTACCAGGACATAAAACCAGCAAAATATTTTGTTTACTCGAAGACTTATTTCAAAGTGGGGCCTTAAAGATGTTAAAATAGCACTTAAATAAAACTTGAATATGGACAAGTTTGCCTTATATCAATAAAAATTCTGCTCGAAGGGTTATATAAAGTAAATGCATGCAAACACTTTATTTAAAAATGTATTTTAGGCTTTGTTAAGCTGAATCCTCAGGAGACTTGTGGCGCAAAGTTAAGATAACTATTTTCCGATCGTTGGTTTAAGAGCCCAATTAATACTGATTTTACGGTGTTCTCTTTACAAAATGTTTTCCATAGTTGGGATTAACAAATTTAACGAAACTCTGAAATCCGCCCTGCTCACAAAATCATGTGAATTTTATTTACAATGTTGTTAGGTACTTTTAGGTAACATTACTAATAAAATCAAAATTCACCTCATGTTTATTTTAATTGAACTTTTTTACAGGCAAAAAATTTTCAAAGTAGCATTACTATACAATGATCCAGTAAATCCATTCGGCATAAATGCCGAAGTGAAGATTTACGAGGCTGTCTAAAGTAAACTCAATATGACGCTAAAACAAGCTCGAACTCAATGCAAAGACAGGAAAAATTACGTTTGAAAATACCCTGTCACTTGAAGTTAGGAAAGCAATTTTCCGACCGTTAGAGGCATGAATTATAAACTAACGTTGTTGTCCGTTGAATTGAGGCCCGGAGCGAGAGGGTATTGTGAAATCGGAAAACACGAAATTCCGGCCTTCATAATCCAATTTTGCTTTATTTTCTGGCCAAAGGCCTGGATAAAGCACGTCAAACGATTTTGCCCAAGCGACAAAATTGATATGGGAAATGAAATCGTTTTGCGGCAAACCATCTTCGATGGGTACCCATTTTACCTGATCAGTTTACGGATTAAAATTTACCATGCTGTATGAGAAGGGGTTAAAAGACGTTTTCCTTCAGAAAGTTACAACTTTTTACAGCATTTCTAGCCAATCATTGCCAATCCGTGGTAGAACCACCAAATACCAAAATAAGACTGAATTATTTACATTTATTGAATACGCAATTGTTTAAAATTCGCTTTAAATGAAATGATCATTAACGCAGCTTTATTATCTGTTTCAGCGAATTTTATCCAGCAGACCATTAAAAACTTACTCGCGAGACATGCGACTCATTTTAAGGCACTATTTTGCATTTAAAAATTGCTCCCTAGACCTGAATAACTACATAACCACAACTAGAAGACAATAATTAGCGAAACAGATAGCGTATGTAGTTGGGGCTATTAAAATAACGGATAGCGGTTATGACTCTTCCGGGAAATTGTACTCGGTTTTGTTAGTTTTATTTATGTATCATTTCGCTCAATTTTGTGCGAACCAGTAGTTTAATGTGGAGCTTCATCAGTATAGAAGGAAATTACTTTTCAGCATCATAAAATAGAAAAAATTGATAATAATGAGGATTTTCGACGATTTTAAGCTTGAAGAAGTGAATAGTTATTCCGAAACCTTGGTAATTGACGCAGAAGTTCTTTTTACGGGGAGACTAACTAATGTTCAAAGAAAACCTAAATCAATATTACTAGAATAGTTGTGAAACACTTACGTGTATGTAACTTCAATTTATTTATACTCAGTTTTCATTAAAATCAATAATAAACTTAATCTGCATTGGCATATTTATCATGATGATCTTCCTCTATTTTTTAGTCCGCAGTCAGGCACAAGAAAAGTAAAAAAACAACCTTTTCTTATGCTTAGCTATAGCTATGCAAAAAGGGAATTTTCATAAGTACCCAGCCTGCATCATTGGCTGCTTACGCAAAAAAGTGGATGCACAAACGAAATTAATGCATCTCAGCAACTGTTCCTAAACTGTTATCTGTGAGGCAAGAAATGTGCTACAAGTGCAAGAGTGTCTTAAATAAATTACTTCAGGTCTGCATTTGATGGGTTTGCACTCTGAGCTTGAATCAAGCAACTAACGATCCTTTCTGTAGAACATTAATATAAATTAAGAGACAAAATAAGTCATTAATTCTTTGGAGTTCGAGTGATAGAAACGGGTCAAACTTGCATAAAATCTTGTTTAGATTCTTATGATATATTTCCTCTGTTCAGCTAGTATGTTTATAAGAAGTTTTGATGAATTTATAATTAAATATGCAAGATATCTCAAACAATCTAAATAGGTCGAATTTCTGCATCAATTTCCAGCAAAAGCAGCGAAGACGAAAAGCATCCGTTTTATTGGCGCTCTTGTAATGATGAATGAGTATTTATGCACTTGAAGAACATCAGTGAAATATGAGACAAAAAACTGCTCGATACCAGAAAAAAGCATTTTGTTTCAGTAACAAAGTAGCAATTCTTTTAAAGCTCCGGCTCGATTTAAGGCTGTTGCAAATTGCCCAATAAGATGGAGTTTTTACGCCAAAAGGAAAACAATACTTCCTTTCTAAGGTTTCTTTAAATCTATCGTGAATCTGTTATCTTAATGACGTTGAACGGA